AGAAAGCGGGAGACAGTATACCCTCTCTCTCCCAAAACGACCTACCATCTTCACCCGAATACAACAACCGTTCATTACCGCTGTATCTGGACCCAAAATTGCCCCAAATGCAGCTGCAATCACCGGGCGTTCTATTCGCGTGAAGACGGCACCCTCGAGCAACAGGCACCCTCATCAAGACCGTATCGGACCAGAAAAATAGTCCGTATACATTCGTGATCACTGCGCATTGTGTTCAGGGGAAGGACGACCTTAATTGTCTTGAAAAAAGCAAGCGTGTCATGTTTCACGCGGGCTTTCTTTTCCCCCCCTTTTCTCCCCCCCTTTTTCTCCCCCCTTTTTTCCCCTACCTCTACGTAGGCGGTGAATTAGGCGCGAAGCCCCCCTTCCTAACTCTTTACCCTCCCTTTCCCTCTCTTCCGTCCCCATTTCATCCCTAACACCTCCCCCTCCCCCCCTCCCCCTCCACCTTCACGTAATGAAGTTTCTCGTCCTGGCCCTGGTCCACTCATCATAACTTCAGCCAGCTTGCATGGTATTTTGATCTGTCCATTGTTTGTTTGATTGCATTTTATTTTGATCTGCCCATTTTTTGTTTGATTGCATTTTAAGAAATTTCAGTAGCAATTTCCCCCTCGTCATCTTCACCTTCCACCGCTCAAAACTAAATCAGCATTGCAATAAATTATCGGAAATTCGGCAATAATTTAATTCGTATTTTTCCTTATCCCCCGCCAACTTCACCCTCCTCAAATATACCCCTAAAAAAATACATCACCACAAATTTCTCGATAAGAGAATTAATTGCTGCTATAAGGTAAGTTCTTTCTTTACTTTCCTTGTCCTTCTTCCAAGGTGGTTCTCAGACAACAACGAAAAAAAAAAAAAAAAAACCGAAAAATAAGACCTAGGTTCCAGCACGTCGAGCAACCCTTTTTCTTTTTTTTTTTTTTCTTTTAAGTTCTCCCGAACTCCTTCGTTTTTGGATATCAACCAAATCAATTTAATCAAGCGATCTGAAAATAAAAAAAGGTTAAACCAAGATGCACATACAACTGTCGAGAACTTTAACATTTTCTTTTATTAATGGTATTATATTATCTTAAACTTTCTTTTTTTTTTCCGTTCTTATTTTAAGCCGGTGTTACCTCTCACAAGATTATCACCATCCTTGCCAGACACACATCGTTAAGATAATAAGATCAGTTAAAGTTGTTAAACCAAGAAGCACATACGCGTCCACAGCTTATCTTAAACATTACTTCTTTTACCCTCTACATCTAACAAGACTGCAATCATCCCCTTGCCAGACTCACACCGTCGAGATCAATGACGAATGCTAAGACACGTCGAGCGATTGCGCAAATTCACAGACCGGCATGCACATACATACAAGTCCCCCCCCCCCCTCGTTTGGTGACCTCTCTCTCTCTCTCTCTCTCTCTCTCTCTCTCTCTCTCTCTCTCTCTCTCTCTCTCTCTCTCTTTGTGCCTACCGTTGTTTTGGTAGACAGTTCTGTTTGACGATATATATATATACGCGAAAAAGCGAAATGGTTTTCAACAAATTTCCATAACGTTATATATATTGTCACATGATATCAGAGCGCCAAAGCGAAAAACAGAAACAAGAAAAACTTAATTCATTTTTAACCTTCTTCCTTACAACTCCCCCTGTTCAGAACCTCTTGCGTACAAGGCCGCCCACGTGGATGTAGGTTGAGCGGCGGCTGCCCCCACCCCCGCGTGTCATATCGACCCACTTGCACACAGCCAAAAGGCAAAGAGGCAAAGAAGAGAGGAAGGGAACAGCCAAATAAAACAGAACAGGGGGCAACAAAACAGATCCCAGATGATAAGTCCCACATGCACGCACCGCCCTTGCCCACAGGCCAAACGACGGGACAAGACCAACCAGGATGTCAAAACATTTTTGTCTGCAAAGAAATAAAAAAAAGTACCAAAAATAACCCATCCCGGATGACGATTCCCACATACAACCACCGCCCCGCGCTCAAAAGGCCGAACAACGGGAAACAACCAACCAGGATGCCAAGACAATAAATATATATATATAGTCAAACTGCCCGGTAAACCGTTGGCAGAGAGGGAGAAGAGTGTATACTTAAACTAGTGCACTACGCACAATGTGCTTACGTCTTTTGAACAAGCGAAATGGTTTTCAAGAGATTTTTCCATTAATATTTAATAACGAATATTAATTTATGATGATTCATGACAATCCTTGACACGTTCCAGGTATGAAGTTTCTTTGAAAACGTTTTTGGACAAGAGTAACGGCGCTATTCAGAATCGTCATCGTCCTTGCAAGAATCGCACCGATGATACCCGGCCTTGCTCCAGTGCTCAGCATTCGGCGCCCATTTCAATGCGCGTATCTGGACCGTCCCACGAACCAGATGCATTCGGACTGATCGAGCATTTTGAATGTATTGCGACCACGATGAGGTGAAGATACATTTAGAATGTTGTGCAACTGAGCGAGGCCCGTTATCAACAATAAATATGCAGTGAAAGATATCCACAACTATAGCCAATGAAAGACACCCATCATATCCAATTAAGATATATTATCCAACATTATCCAATCATCAAATATTGATATCCAACATTATCCAATCATCAAATATAGATATCCAATCATCAAATAAAGATATCCAATCATCAGATATATCCAAATATATCCAATGAGAAATATCCAAAGTACATTTTATCCAACGAGATCTACGACCAAGACCAAAATGTCAAGCCACTCAATTAAAATAAAAATAAAAAAAAAATCAAGCCACTCAAAGAAACGAAAAGAAAGCACAGCCAAGAATAGAATCACACCTACGCATTTCGCCCGTTGCTGCTGCAACCACTACCGTCTGGACACGAATAGAGCGCCCAGTCATAATCGCTGTATCTGGACGGAGAGTTGCCCCAAATGCGGCCTATAACGACTGGGCGTTCTATTGGGGTGAAGACATTAGAACAGGTTATTACTACATGGAACAATCGCATCCCAAATGAACACGCTTATTAAAAGTAAAAGATAAAAAATAAAAAAAAACACCTGGCAAAAGAAGTCCACTCATACGAATCCCGACCAGTATTTTCCGAATTTTCTAAAACCGATTATCACCCCTGCAATCACAAATAAATACTCTCCCAATTGAAGAGGGAAAAAAAAAAAAAAAAGGATACATCGGGCAAACATGTCAAAGCCTACAAGTACATTCATACGTATCCGGATACGTACACTCTGCCTTGTTTCTTCCACCCCGTACTTTGTTTCTCCCCCCNAAACTGTTCCTCATCCCTTCCTGCGACCATCACAAATTAGGTGTCCGCCTGTAAAGCGGAAGGTCGCTTGATCGATTCCCCCCTCCACCCCCGATCGAATAATGCGGATCTATACCTTATCCGTATCTTATCCGTATCTTGTCCGTATCTCACCCGGCTCTAGCTCTAATTCTACTATTAGTACGATTTGAAAGACACTGCCGAGAGATCCGCACCCAATGAGATGCGCAAGGAGTGTACGACACAATAAGATCGGATACGGATAAGATACAACAGTACGGATAAGATACAGATAAGAATAAGATTCGCATAAGATACGGATAAGGTATAGATCTGCTCTACCTCTAGCTCTACTTCTACTAGTACGATTTGGACGAAACTGTCGAGAGATCCGCACCCAAGGAGAAGCGCAAGGACAATGTACGACAACAATACAATCAGATCCGGATAAGTTAGCAGATGTACGGATAAGATAGCAGATGTACGGATTAATATTGTAATTTCTGCCACGTGTACGCGTGGATCACGCACGACGACTGAAGCGGTTGCCAACGAGAGCATCTACCAAGAGCCGGCCAGGTGCATTGTTGCTGGCAAAAATGCGATCCGTGTGGGCCAGGTGCATTTCAATAGTACAAACAAACGACGAGATCTGGGAATGACATGGAGATCCGTGTGGGCCCAGAGCCCTGGGCCTGGACCCATCTGGACCCAGGATAAGATAAGATATATTCCTTAGTGTAAAGAAACGGATTTTTTTGGATTGCGTGTGAAGAAGAGCAATTCGGTCATCGCTTACCTTCTTCTTTTTCTTCTTCTTCGTCTACTTAATTTGTTTATTAATTCAAAAAAAAAAAAGTTCATTAATTCTGTTGACTGGAAATAATCCTCTTCTACTTAATTTGTTTATTAATTCAAAAAAAAAAAAAAATTCTGTTGACTGGAGATAATCCTCTTCCTCTGCGACTCGCAATTTTTTTTTTAATTTTCTGAAACTTACCTCCTCTATTTTTTTTTTAATTTTCTAATTTTCTAATTTGCTGCACAGTCTGTGGGCCCAGGGCCCAGGGAATGTGGCCCAGCCAGGGCCCAGGTAATCGGAGGACATCAAAAAGATTGGAACTCGTGTAGGCGTGCGCGCTCGAGAGCAGAAATTCGCTTGCACGGAACATGCCAGCCACAAATCTTCTATGTCTCTTTCCGTTCCCCTCGCACTTCTCTTTACTCAACACCCAACAAGTAATGGGATTTTAAAAATAGAAGTAAATATAAAAAAATAATGGGAAAATAAAAAAAAATGATGGGATTGAACTCACGGTACGCCGAGAAGAAAAGAGATGTGAGAAAGAGAGAGAGAAGAGAGAAAAGACAAACAAGAACAGGGAGAGAAAAGACAATCGAAAGAGAGGAGAGAGAGAGAGAACGGAGAAATAAAGAAGAGTAGAGAAGAAGAGCGACGAAAGGAGAGGAGAAGAGGATAGAAGAAGAACCGAATCAAAAAGAAAGAAGAAGACAAAGCGAGCGAGGGAGAGAGAGAGAGAGAGAGAGAGAGAGAGAGAGAGAGAATTGAAAGAATTTTGCAACAGAGAGATGGAAGAATTGGAATCGAAATTTGTGAAGGGGGGGAGAGGTACAGCTGTTGTCAGACGAGACAAAGGAAAAGCCGACATCGGTATCCCTACGCATACTTACCTTTTGCAGTGATCCTCCTGCGCGCGCCTTTCTCATTTGCATCTAGCCATCCTTTGAACTCATCCTTCGCGTCCACATCGGTATCCCAACCAAGCGGTTGAGATCCATTCTGAGAGCGGCCACTAGTTAGCCGCTTTCCATCCTGTCGATCCGCAGGGCCCTCCTCTACTCCCTCCTCCCCCGCCTCCTCCTCCCCCGCCCTTGTCTCTCCATCGCCGTTATCCACGCCCACATTGGCGCGCTGCTGCGAGTGCGACACGTAAGCCCCGCCACTTCCACCTTCCGATCCAGCGGCGGCGGCGGCGGCGGCGGAAGAGCGCGCGGACGAGCGCCTCACTACTGCGCGCCGTGCGATCCCACTGCAGTAACACCGCGCTTGATCGGCTTCTTCCCCGCCCGGTCTCGTCGGATGAGTGAACGACAAAATCACTTTCCTCTTGCTCCCAAGAGTTGGTCGGGGCAATGTCAAGGAAGACACCGATCTCAACGATGACGACGAGGAGGGCGAAGCTGAGGACAAGACACGTGTCACCGGCCATCTCGACGATTCCGATCCCGACAGGGAGGCGTAATTGCAGCCGACGGCCTGGACCCTCCTACCGACTCGAAGATGCAGCCATTGCCGCGCTGATCCTCTGATTACCGGCGCGGTACCTTCCGCGGGCTCGGAGATCCAGCGTTGGCCATTAACGCACGTGAGCGCGGAAGAGGAAGAAGACGCCATAGCTACAACCGAGGAAGAAGAACGAAGAGCAGCCGCAGCCGCCGCCATCGCTGCGGCCAGTCCACAACTGTCTAGATCAGGACAACAATGCTCCTCTCCTCACATCCACTGTCTCCGCTGTCTCTATGGCTATCAATCAACTTCAACGTCCTCGCTCGACTACTCTCGACATGGACAAAAGACAAAAAAAAATTATGCGGTGTATCTTTCCATGGTTCTAGCAGAAGATTCACTCTCGTTTTGCACATGTCGAGAGCAGTGAAGTGAGGCCCCCAACTTCCTTTTCCCGCCTGCCCCGCTCCCAGACGGCGCGCAAGCACGCGCTCCAACCCCCCCCCCGTCTCCGCTTCGGCGTGTTCCTACCGGTGTAGGTAGCTAGCTACCTACATGGGACAAACGGAGGGCATGCTGACATTAGCACAATCTTGAATGTACCTGACCGTACTTGCGGCCCTATACGGATGTATCTGACCGCAATTCCTTCCCAGAAATAAGTGTAAAAAACGTCCTACTGTACTGTGAGTATGCCCTGAGACGTGGAATTCCAGGGATCGCAGCCTCACAAGTTTCCGAATGTCAGATAACCATTTCTCCCAAAGTGGAAACCTGCTCGCTTGTCAGATAGAGGGGGTCGTTGGGGGGGCGGGCGGGGGTGGCGGGGGAGGGAGGGGGCACTTCTCCCAGCACCCCCTGACTCCCTTCTCATGCTCTCTCACACAACAAACACGTCGACTCGCAGTCCAATCCACCGTGTCATCAAATGCGGGCAAGAACAGTGTACCAATGCGGGCAAGGACAGTGTACCATTTCTCAAGGGCGGCGTGGTGCTCAAGACCAGCCTGTTGTGTGGTGCTCGAACCAGCGTGGACAATCGGGCCTCGACCCACCACTGTCCACATGCGCAAAACGAGAGTGAATCGTTCGCCAGAACATGGACAGATACACCAATATGATCCAATATAGCTAGTAGTAGCCAATAGCCAATAGACAATTAGAGTTCGAGAAGAGATGATGACAACATAGTTTGACAGGCCTGTGTCATCTGACCCTCTTCTTCCCTCCATGGGCCTCGCTCGACTACTCTCGAGATGGGCAAAAGACAAAGATCATGTTCGGAGAGCCTATCTGTTGTCTGTTTGTTGGCTATTTTGGGTATTGGGCAAGCCTACCCATCTGTTTGTTCGTTTGGCTATTTTGGCTATTCGGCTAGGGAACTGGCCTGTTTGGACATTTTGGCTAGTTCGGCTAGTTTGGCTAGTTCGACGAATTTGGCGGCTATTTTGGGTATGTTGGTTCTTCTATGAGTGTATCTGTCCGTCTGTTTGTAGCCTGAAGGCTGGGGCTACAGGCGGCTGGTTGTTCATGAGAGAACGGGGGCACCCTACCCTAAAGCCCCTGGTACTTAGGGCCAGCTCCCACCGGCTGGCGGAAACTGTTCCCGTTCCCCCCGGATACCTTGCGAGATCCCACAGCGCCTGCCAACAGATGCTCGTCTTAGAGACTAAGCCATCCACGTCTAAGTGTGAACATTTTGCATTGTGGAACTGTGAATGGATTATTAGATCAGTTATCATTTTATTTTGCGGTTTCCTTACCACTCATATAACCGTGAAAATTCTAGAGCTAATACGTACATCATATCCCATCTTCTGGAGAGGATGTGCGTATTGGATAAAAGGTCGATATGGGCTTCACCGTTGTTATGGCAATTTATGGTGACTTGTCAAATCGCCTACCGTCTTAACCCGAAAACAAGGTACGTACCTTGTATTCAAGTTACCTCAAAAAAACGGGTTTCAAACCACCAGTACCTCGCTCAGCTATCAAGTCCGAGGCTCGGACTACCGGTAGCCCGATCATCCCCGAGCCTCGGACTTAATTGTCGAGCCTCGGACAACCGGTAGTACACAACCGAAAAAGAAAAAAAAGAAAAAAACAACAAAACGTACAACATTCTGCAAAAAAAAACAAAAAAAAACAAAAAAAAAGAAAATCAAACAAGCCCAACGAGAATGAATCTTCCTGGATAACGAGGGAGATTCATTCTCGTGGGAGGTTGAGAGAGAGAGAGAGAGAGAGAGAGAGAGAGAGAGAGAGAGAGAGAGAGAGAGAGAGGGGAATGCGGAGTGTCGGACTCCGAGTTTGGCGCACCAAACTCGGAGTCCGACACTCCGC